TCCCGGTTTTTTCATTTGTTCCAAAAACTTTTCTACCATTTCTTATTTGTTTTTCCCTCTTTCCCTCTTGGCCTGTGCTCATGTATCTTACAATTGATTCTAATCATCCTCTTTTTCTGCATCCCTCAGATATGCCAGGATTTCATTTAGTATTGTATCAGCTCACTGACTTTGAAAACTATAATGTATGGAGCAGATCCATGCATATCGCAGTCTTGGACAATAATAAGCTCATCTTTATGGATGGAAGCTTCGAAGGGAAGATTGTGAAGGTTTATTGTAATCTCAATGGGAGCATTGTAATGCATTTGTGCTTTCATGGATTCTGAATTTTGTGAGTCAGGATCTCTCTGCTGGAATTGTATTTGCTTCGAATGCAGGAGCTGTTTGGAAAGATCTCAAAGAACGGTTCGATCAAATTGATGGTTCTAGGGTTTTCTTCTTGCATTAGTCGATTGCCACTATTGTTCAAGGTGATTCGTCTATTTTAGTTTATTTTACTCGTCTCAAACTTTTATGGGATGAGTACACTGCTCTTGTTCCTTTTTCTTCCTGCGCTTGTGAGGTTGCACAACAAAATTTGCTTCATGTTGTTCAACAACGACTCTTCCTACAGTTAATCAGGCATACTCAATGATTGTTTAGGAGGAATCTCATAGAGTTCAATTAAATGGTGCACCTATTGAAGGTTCTGTAATATTCTCGAATACTTCCAAAGGAAATGATCGAAGGTGGTTCAATGAGACTTGTGAATGTTGTAAAGTCAAGGGCCACAGTCATGATAGTTGTTATCGGCCTATTGGTTTTCCATCAGATTTCAAGTTTAATAGGAATAAGGCTCCTCAGGATACCATGGCAGTTAATTATGTTAATTAAGAGGTTGAGACTGGTTCAGTGGTTTCCTCTCCTGTCTCAATTATTCATACTTTCACTCCTGAGAAGTATAATAAGATATTAAGCCTGTTGAACAAGAGCTCAGCCTTAGATTCCAGTGTGAATCTTGTAGGAATTGTTGCTTGTAGTTTACCTGCTTCCAATGATATGTATGTTTGTTGGATAGTTGCTACTGGCACAACTGATCATATCTGCCTTTAAGGGCATGCAATTTCCTGTTTCATGTCCTCCCCATCATTATGTCCATATGCCTAATGGTCAAATTGAATTAGTATCCCACATAGGTTCTTATAGGTTGCCTTCTGATCTTGTTATCTCTAATGTCTTGTTCGTTTCTAGTTTCACCCATAATTTGTTATCTATTTCTCAACTTGTCAAATAACATGCTTGTGTCATTTCTTTTTATCCTAACATTTGTATCTTGTAGGATCTTTACACTAGCATGATCAAGGGGGTTGGTAGGAGGTTTAAAGGGATTTATATTTTTTATTCCACTAAAGGAGCTATTGATTTGTTTTCTACAAAAATTTGTAATTCTTTGGTTATTTCTGGGAACATTTCTTCTGTTAATTCCGTGCATACTGCTTCCGTTTCTAATAAAACTAATATTTGGCATGCTAGATTTGGGCATGCTTCTGCTATGAGAAAATTGTCTTATGTTTCTGATAAACTTGATACAAATGTTGTTCATGATTGTAGTGTATGTCCTTTGGCAAAACATTGACATTTCCCATTAGTCTTACTAGATCTTTAAAACCTTTTGACCTCATTCATATAGATTTATGGGGTCCTTATAGGATATCTACTCATAGTGTTTATAGGTATTTTTTTACTATTATTGATGATTGCACACATATGACTTGGGTATATATCTTAAGAGTTAAAAATGATGTTGTTATGTTTCTTAAATAGTTTTTTCTTTTACCTTCACTTAGTTTTCTTCTGTCACTAAAATTGTTAGAAGTGACAATAGTACATAATTTTTTAATTCTCACTGTACTCCTTTTTTCTCTTCTCTTGGTATTTTGCACCTGATTTCTTGTGTTCAGACTCCGTAGCAAAATGGAGTTGCAGAGAGAAAGCATAAATATCTTTTAGAAGTAGTTAGGGCTTTACGTTTTCAATCAAATGTGCCTATTAAATTTTGGGGTGGATGTGTGTTAACAACTTGTTTCATTATAAACAGACTTCCTTCTTCTGTTTTGCAAGGGAGAACTACTTATGAAATTCTTTATCACAAACCTCTTGATATGTCTATCCTTAGATTTTTTTGGTTGTTTGTGTTATGCTACTGACCCAAAACCAACAGATAAATTTGCTCTTCGATCCTTACCTTCTGTTTTCATGGGATATTCTAATACTTAAAAAGGTTATCTTTTGTTTGATCTTACTTCTAAGAATTTTTTTGTCAACAGGGATGTTATTTTCATGAACAAATGTTTCCTTTTAATTTTCCTGTTCAGAAAAATTCCTTTTTTTCCTTCCAATCCTTCTATTCCTGATTATGAGTTCTTAGTTCTTTCTTTTGGTCAACAACCTGTTATTGATGTACCACCTGATTCTTCTTCCATAACTGAACCTGGGCAATCATCACAACGGTCAGAATCTGCTATAGGTCCAGTAGCTCCAGTCTTAGTTAGGAAGTCTACTAGGGTTCTTAAATAACCTCAATGGTTGAATGACTTTGTTTGCAATTATGTTTCTACTTCTGCTTATCCTATTTCATATTTTATTTCCTATAATCATTTTCCTCTTGTTACACAATCTTTTGTTTCCTCCATTTCGCATTTGTTGAACCTAAATCTTATCATGAGGCCATTCAACATCCGAAATGGGTGCGGGCTATGAAGGATGAAATTCTTGTTCTTGAAACAAATAAGACTTGGTCAATTGTATCCTTACCTTATGTGAAAGTCCCTATTAGTTGAAAATGGGTTTATAGGGTTAAATATAATGATGTTGGTATTGTAGAAAGATTTAAAGCTCGTTTGGTGGCCAAGGGTTATAGTAAAAAAGAGGGTATAGATTATGTGGATACCTTCTCACCAGTGGTCAAATTGGTTACTGTTCGTTTTCTTCTTGTCATTGCTTCTGTTTTTTTATTGGCCTTTGTTCCAGCTTGATGTGTATAATACCTTTTTACAAGGTGATTTGTCTGAAGAGGTGTATATGGAATTTCCTCCTGGTTTTTGCAGTTAGGGGGAGAATAAGGTATGTAGACTGTAAAAATCTCTTTATGGTTTGAAACAAGAATCTAGGCAATGGAATTTGAAGTTTACTGAGGCTCTTTTAGGTTCTTGTTATGAACAAAACAAATTTGATTATTCTTTGTTCATAATGAAAAAAAGATAAGAAGATTGTAGTCTTGTTGATTTATGTTGATGACTTGCTGATTACTGGCAATGACAATGTTTTGATTGGTGATTTAAAGAGTCTTTTGAACAAGAAGTTTAGAATGAAAGACCTTGGTGAGTTGAAGTATTTTTAGGTCTTGAGATTATGAGATCGAAAGAAGGGATTTTAATTAATCTGCACAAATATGCTCTTGAATTGATTGAGGAAACATGAGTAAGTGGTTCAAAACCAGCAAAGACTCCCCTTAAACAAAATGCTAAGCTTACTACAAAAGTGTATGATGACCTGTGCACAAAAGAAAGTAATGAAGTTGATAAGTTATTAGCTGACAAAAGTTTTTATCAAAGGCTCATTGGAAGACTTATTTACCTCACACATACCAGACCAGATATATCTTTTTGTTGTGCATTACTTGAGTCAGTTTATGCAACAACCTAAAGAATCTCATTTGCAATCAACATTGAGGATAGTGAGGTACATAAAAAAGAATCCTGGTCAAGGAATCTTTATGGATTCAAACAGCAGTTGTAATCTTGAAGCATATTGTGACTCAGACTGGGCTGCATGTCCTATTTCAAGAAGGTCTGTTTCTGGTTTTTGCATTAAGCTTGGAAATTCCTTGATTTCATGGAAGTCCAAGAAACATAATACAATAGCCAGATCATTTGCTGAAGCAGAATATATAAGCATGGTTGTTACATCAGCTGAATTAACTTGGTTAAATGGTTTAGCTAAAGAACTTGGATTAGAAAGGAAGTATCCAATCAAGCTATATTGTGATAATAAAGATGCTCTTCAGATTGCAGCTAATCCAGTCTATCATGAGCGTACAAAGCATATAGAAATTGATTGCCACTTTGTAAGAGAGAAAATACAAGAATGACTTATCAAAACAGAAATTGTATCTTCTTCAGGGTAATTAGCAGACATAATTACTAAAGCTATAGGAGTACAACAACATGAGTATCTTGTATCCAAGTTGGGGGTAAAAAATATCTTCTACCCACCAACTTGAGGGGGAGTGTTATAAGTTAAAGTTTGTTATTTTTTTCTGTTTTACTTGTAACTAACTAGCAGTTAGTTAGTTAGATTAGAATTATATATATGTGTAGTTTCTCTATTCTAAAATATATAATATGGGGTATTTTTTCATCTGATTTTAACATGTCTCTTCTTTCTCCACTTCTATATTGTTTAGATTAGAAAATTATGGGATATTTTTACGAATTTAAAAGAAAATATTAAAGTCTTTTTATGATTTTTAAAATATAAATGTCATGTCATAACATCATTAAATAATTAGTGACGGATCAAAAAAATAATATTAAAATTAAATAATTAAATTATTTTTTAAATTCAATGATCAAAATATGAATATAATTAAAATTGACTGATAGAATTTATAATTCACCCTTGAATAAAATGGGATAAATTATCTAATGACCTTATTGTTTCGATCAGCTTTAAATACAATAATATTAACTTGAGAACTCAAATGGTAACAAAAATTGATAAAAATAAATTCAAGTGTTTCATAAAAATATAATACTCTCTTTAAAATAATTGTCAAAGCAAAATCTGTAGGGTCACCTTACTAAGGAAATCGAAGTGACCTAGTTGAGCTGACGAAGTAAAAGTTGGAAGTTGGCAGGGTCTTCCGTTCCGACAAAGATCAACGGTTCCTGGAACTTGCAATGAAAGGAGACAGCAAATTCTCTATAGCCTTGACACCCTCTATAAATACAAACACCAACAAAGCTTGGCTGCCATGTTCGAAACAAAACATCTTTTGTGTTTTCCCTTATCATATCTCTATTGTCTAATTGTTTTTATCAGATAAACTCCATCATGAAGGTATGAAAACTAATCATATAGTTTAATGTACTTGCGAAAAAGGAGTTGAATTTGATTTGATTCATCTTTTTGTTTCTTTTTACAGAAAAAGATGGTAGTGAAAGTAAGTATGAACGGCGATAAATCCCGCTCCAAGGCGTTGAAAATTGCAGTTGGTCTCTCAGGTACTGAAAAACCACCTTTGATTTTTCATTCATTCTTATAAAAATAAAAGAAAAAATGGGGATTTATGTAATTGTTGGGGATTGTTTTGAAAGGGGTGGAGTCAGCTGCGTTGAAGGGGGATGATAAGAGCCAAATAGAGGTAACTGGGGACGGAGTCGATGCAGTTAAGCTAACAAGTCTGCTGAGGAAGAGAGTGGGGCATGCCGAGCTGGTCAGCGTCGCTGATGCCAGCGGGGACAAAAAGGAAGAGAAGGACGAGACAAAGTCGGAACAACCGCCGAACTATATACCGTATTATTATCAGGCGGTGCCGTCGTATGGATATGTCGAAAACTATGGACCCTCTTGCTCCATCTTGTAATTAGAGGGACACAGTCCACACAAACCACAACCAATAAAATCACACGCTTGGCTTAAGTTGCTCAAATTTAGCAGTTGATTATCATATTCCAAAGTTGAAATCTTTTTCATCCTCAATTTTCTCTTTCTACAAATATTATAAAAGATTATGTTACAATAACAAGAATTTGTGTTTATCTAATACCAAATTTGGCAAATTTATTGTTCGATCACCGTAAATTAAGATCTACAATCTTCATATTTCGATTATTGTAGGATTAAAGTGTAGACGACTATTTTCATATGGGATTTAATTATCCTTTTGATTTTATATTAAAATAGATTCATTATTTATTATTATTATCATCGATTATTATTAATTCTGTTGTTGTTATTTAATATTTGTATAACTTTATATTTATTCTAAGAATTTCAAATTCAATTAAGGACGTTTAATGTTGTCGTAACAAAGCTTAAAGATGTTTTCAAGAACGTACAAACTTATACCAATTACAGATTGAGCAGCCAAAAATAATTAGACAAGTTTACTACCCTTTCTTTTAAACTTTAATTATCACTGATTTTCTATATTATCATTAATGAAGCAATTTCTTCAATTTGCAAAAATACTTTTTTTTATGACTTTGTTCCAAGATAGCCAAGCTCACACTGTAATGATTTAACCACCCATTGCAATTCTGCTTTCGTAGAAGCAACTGCCCTGTACTCTGCTTTTGTTGGGAGAAGTGAGCTTTAGATAAAAGGAGGAATTATTATTTGTAATAACGAAATAACAGCAGATTAGTCTTTCTGGTATATGAAGAGAGTGATCATTTGAGAAGCCTTGAAACCATAGATCAGCATAAATGGACCAAGGGCTTGATACCATGCCCGAGGCACTTGTTTGAGGGTTTTTTTTGCCCATTAGTGTATCCCGGTTTTTATTTTGGAGAATACGGTAAACGCTGTAGTGGAGCTGAAATATAAAATATATTTTTTTATTAAAAATTATAACGAGGTAAAAAGTTTAAATAAAAAAGTATTTTTTATTTAAATTCGTCAAATCAACATGATGAGTTCTATGCAATGTAAAAAAAATATTGTAGATCCCAAAATAAAAGTGTCTTTGTCATATTTTACAATTTTTTTTTGTTCGCGCTGCCCTATTGGGGGCAAAAAACACCCTTGTTTGAGGCCTTAACTAATTTTCAGACATTGTAGAATCAGTGAAGCCTAGAGCCTCCTCCATGTACAAAAAAAACATTGTTCATGACAGAGGGAGAACAACTCGGATAGTCACAGGCTCTTTGCACAGGAATAAAGATTGAGAAAATAACCTCATTTGCACAGGAATAAAGATTGAGAAAATAACTCAGTGACAAAAAATGCCTGCGATTTTCCAATTTCGCGGTATTGCATTTGTTTCTTAAGAATTTTCTCTAAAAAGATAGTATTCGCGCGTACGTGTCGAAGACACGTATTACCACGACCACGACCACGACCACGAGACGGCGGCGGCGGCGCGCGAGAGTCCCCCTTGTTCTCTATCACTCAACAAGGAAGTGGAAAGCCAAGCCTTAAATACTATTCCCAATAGTGTTTCCAATACTATGTGGGATTGAGCATTACCAACACTTGTTTCCAATACTATGTGATTATTCAGGAAACAATTAACAATCATGCACCTTAAAACAACTGAATCAGCAACCAATTGCATTAGTATTATATGATTAAATATGTCATAATTAAAAGTCAATCTACAATCAATCGCGATTATTGCAATTTTAAGCAAAACATTCAAAAAAATTTGCATCACTCGCGAGAATAAAAAAAATTGTTATCGTGCAATTACAATCAATTGAAAATAAATTAGAATTGCATGAAAACTAAACGAACCACAAATACTTTTCATACAAATACTAAAGTCATTAACTATAATTCACAAATAATATCACTATTTAAGGTTCAATCCCACATAGTATTGGGAACAAGTGTTGGTAATGCTCAATCCCACATAGTATTGAAACACTATTGAGAATGGTATTTAAGGTTTGGCTTTCCCACTTCCTTGTTGAGTGATAGAGAACAAGGGGGACTCTCGCGTGCTGCCGTCGTCCGTCTCGTCTCGTCTCGTCTCGGGTCGCGGTCGTGGTAATACGTGTCTTCGACACGTCCACGCGAATACTATCTTTTTAGAGAAAATTCTTAAAAAACAAATGCAATACCACCAGTCGTTGCGATTTTGGACTATTGCAACGAATTTGGAATAAATCGCAACGCGAACTTCGACTATCGCAACGAACTTGAAAAATCACATTGCGATGGTAGAAGTTCGCGTTGCGATAGTCGATGTTCGCGTTGCGAATCTGGAAACTGATTTGCGATACCGGAGATCGCGTTGCGAATTATCGATCGCATTGCGATTTAGTTGGTCGTTTTGACAAATCCAAAAAAAGTTGGTTAAAATCGTATATTATAAGACATTTTTGGTCACTGAGGTTATTTTCTCATAGATATTTCACTAAACTCTATCCTCCGCCTTTGATTGTACTCATTTTGGTGTTCAAAAGTACTTTGAAAATGGTATACACATTTCACGTCGAGCAGAACCATATGTAATAGTGAAATCAACGATGTACCTGCCGTCATGAACATTTTAAATTTCTATATATTTTATATTTTTTTCAACCAATAATCTATTTTTAATCTTCAAATAAATTCGTCCCTAACATAAAATTCTGTGTCCGTTTCGGGTAAAACCCAAGTATCTTAAAAGTAGTTTTAAGAGGGTAAAAGCATATGTATTTTGTGAAAATGATCCACAAAGATAACGTAATAGTGATCCATTTATAGACTACATAGGATCAGAACCCCAAATGTTCAAGATTTTGAACATGGGATGATCAAGTTTTGCCCCAACTCAGATGAGCTTCTACTTCTTATCAATTGTTAGACTTCTCGATCAAAAAACATACTTTGTATGATGAATTTAAATAGCGACCCGTTATTAGAATAGTGACCATTATGTATTGATAGTTATATCATCTGAAACTATTATTATATTACGGCGATACTCATAATAAATACAATAATTCTTGTTATGTCTGCAATTTGAATCCTGCATTCCTACTCTGTCTAAAAAACAAAAACTAACAAAAAGGAGAAGAAACAAATATATGTAAGATGTGAGTGTGATTATGGACCTGCTTGACTCCTCTGATGCCAACCAGGAAGGTGCCAATCTTTGTTGACGACATCCATAGTTGGCATCCAGGGAGCCAGGCAGATCAATTCATAAATTCATATTCCATCCAAAACGCCACCGTTTCATCGGATACCTGAAAATAATCACAATCTTCGTTTTGTTTGTTTCATTTACATTAATATAAAACATTCAAATCACCGGACTCAAACAAAACACCCCAAACTAACAATAAATAAATAAAGAATAAGAATGCCTTACTAATTGACAAGGCTACATCAGAGCTGTAAAAAGAACAAAGAAGTTATCATGTTGAAGAGAATGCCACACACCAAGCAACGTATTTATAGAGGTTAGGTTTAGCAGTAAAAAGAGGTAAAAGTAATAAAGGAAGAATCATACACAACACTGAAGTGAAATATTTTCAAGGATTTACTTACTATAAAACGGTGGATTCTGGGAATCTCGTTTAGGTGACAAGAATGGAAAGAAAAATCAGAAAATTTAATGCAAAATACCAATCATGGCTGACTGCAGAAAACATGCTGCAAAGAAGCAGAGCTGAGTTTACCCCTGCTCTCTCAATCAAAACACAGTTGTTTTAAGCTTGGGAGTGAGAGTCGATGACTCCATTAATTAATTTATATGGGATTTAAGAGTTTATGTGCGGCTAAGGAAAGAGACAACACAAGCTCTGGGGAAAGCGAAAGGAGAAGAGAAGAGGGCTATAAAAACCAGACGGCAAAAGCACATAATTGGCCTTTTTTCTGCAATAATAATTAAAAAAAGACAGTATTTTTAAATGCCAAAAGATGATGCAGACCATTGGTGTTTGCAACACCAAAGGCCAAAGCATGAGACAAAAGTGACAGCCTTGGTATGGGTGGTTTGCCGGATTATTTGACGATCGTTTCATACCCAGGTGAAGCACATGCTGGGTTTAATAAAAGTTACGAGCATGTTTCGTTCAAAAACACAAAATGAAGCCGAGCTGGGGACCCATTTTCGCCTCAATTGGGCCGTGATGAGCTCCAATTTAAGTTTGGCGTGTCTCCTTTTTCTTCTTAAAATATAAAGGGTCAAAGTTGAAAAAAGACTTTTACCCTTGCAGGTTATTCAACTGACGCACAATTCTTTTCTGAGCGTAAACTTCTATAATTTTAAGTTGAGGTGAATTAAAAAAATCTAGAAAACGAAAATTTATTATTAATAGAAGTTATAAATATTAAGATTAATTTAAAATTTTAGAGACGGATTGTTTTTTAATAGTCTCCTTAATCTATCATTGATAACAATCGCTGGCTTGCATTGCGTTTGATTTTCTGTCGGGCTTAGTGATCAAATTATATCTTTTTTGACAAATAAGTGCTTACATTTTTCTTACTCATCCGAGTGTTAAACGTTACAAATGTTAGCACTTTAGATGCCCGTACCGTTAACGGCTCTAATTTTCCACATTAAGTGATACGTATGACAACATGATAATTTTGAAATTTATTTTTAAAAAATTTAAAAATATTATTATATTTATAAAAAAAACTCTTAACTTTTCTTATAGTATAAAACAAATCCCAAATCCCATCCTCAATCTGTCGTCGTCGCCCTCTCTGGCCACAACCACCGCCGTCAATGTAGTCTATGCCATCATCCTAGATATATGTCGTCGTATTTATTGTCGATTCACCATCGTAATCGCGTGGGATCATGATTTTCATCCTAGGGTTCGTAGGATTTAAAACATTGATTTGTCGTAAATCGATCGTCAATCGATCACGATTTCATAGGAGTTTTGGTAGTCAGGGGGAGGGGAGGTCGAGTGGAGCTTCTTCGACGGCAAAGGGTGGCGGTCGGCGTGAGTTTAGGGGTTGAAATGAGTGTTTTTAAAGTTTAGGAGTTATTTCAAAATTTGTGTTTTCTTTTTAAAAAATATAT